AAGAGATGGTGGGTCAGTCTCATCGCAGTCATCGCTTTGGCCTGAAGCCTCCAGCTGCGGGCCTTCAGCATTTCCTCTTCGCGTTACTGGGCCAGCCTTGCAGACACTTCCCTGCTACGGTCACTGGGTCTCTCTCACAGAGTGAGGACCTTGTCCCCTGGCGTGCTGAGCCTATGCTCTGGCTTCCTGTTCAGAGGAGCCTGCCCGAGCTTGGAATGGGAGCTGGGAGCACCTGGGTGGATACCTTCCACCCAGGCCTGCTTTTCCTTCAGACCCTCTTTGTCTAGTGGAGGTCAAAGGCACACCCAGATGTTTCTGCAAAACTGTCATTTTTGTCTGTTTCCACTGATACTTTAGGATGGATGTCGCCATCTTTTTTTTTTTCTTTCTGATGATTATCTGTTGAAGCCAGTATGTCCTAGTCTTTGTCATATCTCTTAGGACACCTTGGCTCCTACATATCCGAGGATTTAGAGTCAGATCAGACTTTAGAGATCAAGTCCAACCCTGTCATTTTACAGAAGAGGACACTGAGGCCTGGAGAGGCCACTTTGTTGTTGTTCAGTCTTTTTTTCAGTCACGTTCAACTCTTTGAGACCTCATTTGGGGTTTTCTTGGCAAAGATTTTGGAGTGGTTTGCCATTTCTGTTTGGGTTTTTTTTTGGCTAGGCAATGGGTTAAGTGACTTGCCCAGGGTCACACAGCTAGTAAGTGTTATGTGTCTGAGGCCGAATTTGAACCCAGTTCCTCCTGAATCCAGGCCCAGTGCTCTATCCACTGTGCCACCTAGCTGCCCCTTGCCATTTCTTTCTACAGCTCATTTTACAAACGGGGAAACCAAGTCAATCTTGTTTGTAATAATTGTTTGTATTTTGTTTCCTCTGTTAGGTTGTGAGCTCCTTGAGAGCAGTGGCCATTGCCCCTTTTTGTATCCTCAGTGTTAGCACATAGTAGGCACTTAGTAAATGCTTGCTGACCTGACTTGACTTGGTTTGACTTGCACTCAGTTCTTGAATTCCAGGAAATTGTATTCAGGGATTTCAATTTCATGTAATTCAAGGAAAATTGACTATAGAATCATGGGATCGTAGATTTCAAGTGACTTCAGAGGCCATCTACGCTAATCCTCCTCATTTTACACATGAGGAAACTGAGTCCCAGAGAGGCTAAGTGACTTGCCTAGGGTCGTGATGCTGATAAGTCACAGCTGTGGGGTGACATAAACCACAGTACTCTACAGTTGCCCTCCACAACCTGCCACAAGGACTATCGCCCTGGGTCAGCACCCTCCTCATCAGAGGCTTTCCAAGGGGACTTTGCTATGGCCATTGGACAAGGGCAGCCTTCTGGGTTCTAGCCAATTAGGAAGCAACGTTTCCTGGCTCAGGTGTCGGACAGCTGCTTTAGGCTCAACATTGCCTCTCTTCCTGTAACCCAGAGCTCCTGCTCCCCTAAACTCTTCAGAAAGAATAGTTCCGTCTTTGGTCAATGGAGCTTTGGGCTCTGAAACCTCCTGGGAGTAAGCTAGACCTTGCCTGAAGCTATACAAATAGCAATACCTCTGTGGTGGGTACCTAGCACAGGCATCCTCCAAGTCCTCAGAAGCCCATTTGTCAAGGGTGATGCTGAAGGGGAAGAGGCTGCTGGGAAGTTCAGCTTCTGGCTTTGCTGACCAAGTACGAGTGTCCTCCGGCCTGCGGCCAGCCCTTTCAGAATGGTCACTAAAGAAGCGTGAGAAAGACTCCTTTCACTCCATTCCCAGGACGACTTTGGGCAGGCTCAGCAGAGTCTGTGCTTCTAAGGTTAGCCTGCCTGCTCTGGAGTTCAGAATGCCATGCCCTGGCTCTGTCCACACAGACATTTCCACTCCCAGCATGCCTTCAAGCAAAGACTGCAAGAAGCTCTTGCTTCTTGGAGTGGGGAATTCTTATTCAGGTATGAGGTGGTCTCGGTCAAGGGTTCTTCACCTGTCCTTGGGCAGTTTGTGAAGCCTATGGGCCCCTCCTCTGAATATTTAAATGCATAAAGCAAAGTACAACAATTTGATGTTGTGATCCAGCCAACAGATCAGCTACATTGGACATTTGGCCTTGGGCTTGTGCCATCCACCAATGGGCATTTATTAAACACCTACTATGTGTCAGACACTGTGTTAGGATACAGAGGCAAAAAGTGAACAGTGCTTAGAAGCTTAGATTTTATTATGTAAATAAATTAGTGTATTCAAAACAGGTACAAAATAAGTGTGAGAGTTTCAGTGGTGAGGTACTAGCAACTGGGGTATGGGTGGGGTGGGGTGGAGTGTTCAGGAAAGGCCTCACCTAGGAGATAATGTCTGAGCTGGACTTTGGAGGATGCTAGGGACTTTTGAGAAGTAGAGGGGTGTGCATGTGTGTGTGTGTGTGTGTGTGTGTGTGTACATATGTATATGTGTATGTTTATGTATTTGTATACATGTATGTATATGTATTCGTACATGTGTTTATATAGGTATACTTGTATGTGTTTGTATATTTGTGAGTGTGGAAGCTTGTGCATGTATATATGTATGTATTTGTATATGTATATTTGCATGTGTGTGTATATATGTGCACATGCTTATGTGTGTGTGTGTGTGTGCATGTGTATGTGTGTATGTAGAGCATTCTAAGCATGTGGAACTTTGCAAAGGGATGGATATGGGATACAGGAGATGGAATGTTCTGTGTGAGACACAGAAAGAAGGCTAGTGTGCTTGGGCCATAGAGTCCATGGAGGGGAAAAGGAGAAGGTTGGAAAGGTAGATTAGAGCCAAGTCGTGAAGAGTCTGTTTTTGACCAGAGGTAAAAGAGAGCTGCTGGAGTTAAATTAGACGGGGAGTGACTTGGTCAGACCTACACTTCAGGGAAATTACTTTGGCACTTGACTGGAATGGGGAGAACTTGAAGCAAAGAAGCCAATTAGGAGGTTGTTAAGGTGGTCCAGGCAGGAGCTGGTGAAGTCCTGTACTATGGTGATGGCTGTGTGTGTGACTCCGGGGAAGGGAGGGGATGGTTGTGAGAGTCATTGTAACTTGGTGAAAGAAAGACTACTAAATTCAGAGTCATGAGAGGCCTGGGTTGGAGTCCTGCCCCAGAGCCTTTATAGTTGTGAAACTATGGGCAAATCAAATGACCTCTCTGAACCTCAGCTTCAAAGAAACCAGGCTAATGGTGCCCAGAGCGGCTCTTTGTCAGGGCTATCGTGAGGTTCCATGGAGTTGTGTCTGGAAAGTGCTACAGAAAGGGGAGCTAAAATTCTTGGCCATGCCAATTAGTGGTTGAATTATTCTGATCATCTCAGGCTTTCCATGACCCAAATAAAACCTTAGTAATGAAGATATTGAGATCCCTGCTTCAGAAGTTTCATTTCCCAGCACCACCAGGGGCTTCCGCAGTTTCCCTCCTAACTACTTCTCTGGGCTGGTGTATCCCAGAGCCCATTTTGGCTCCTTGATATCTCACAAGCCTTGGATAAAGTGGGAGTCACCAACTCTCTTCTGTCTGGCGAGAAGGTGGTGAGGTGGCGGGCAGGGAGGGAGTGGCACCAGATTTTACCACCCCTCTGCCATCATCTTATGAGATCTTCCAGGCCTTACTCTGCCCTACAGACATCTGGCTCTATCTTCTGACCTGATGTAACCTGCAGACCACTGGGGCTTGCCATTCACCCTGCTGCGATGCCCTTGGGAATTCTAGGCCTGCCCACCCATCCTGCATCTTCACCTTATTTTATTTGCTGTCTTTCCCAATTCAAATATGAGCTTCTTGAGGGCAGGGGCTATTTGGACTTTTTTTTTTTTATATCTCTAATATATATAGCAAGCACTTAATAAATCCTTTTTCATTCATTTTCTTCCTTCCTTCCTTCCTTCCTTCCTTCCTTCCTTCCTTCCTTCCTTCCTTCCTTCCTTCCTTCCTTCCTTCCTTCCTTTCTTCCTCTTTCTAACTTGCTTTCTTCATTTCTCTTTCTTTGTCTCTCTTCCTTCTCTCCTTTCTCTTTCTCACTCTCTTCCTTCTCTCCTTTCTCTTTCTCACTCTCTTCCTTTACTTTCTTTTTCTTTCCCTTCTTTCCTTTCTTCCTTCCCTCCCTTTCTCCTTCCTTCCTTCCTTCCTTCCTTCCTCCTTCCTTCCTCCTTCCTCCCTTCCTTTCTTTCTCTCTTTTTTTTTCTTTTTTCTCTCATTCCAATCTTCTCATACTTCCTGGCCTTCTGTTTACCCATCATATATTTTTTGGGGGGATCATATCTATGCTTTCATAAGAGCAAAGATATTCCAGTGATGAAACACGTTATAAAAAAGGAAAATGGAGGCCCCAGGGTGTGTGTGTGTGTGTGTGTGTGTGTGTGTGTGTGTGTGTGTGTATGTGTTGGAATATGTATATGTGTATATGTATATATATATATATATATATATATATATATATATATGTTTTCAAATATTCAAATTTATGTGTGCTCTTATCAGTATATGAAGTCCCTCCAATGGTTAATAATAATGCTTATAGTTAATATTTATGGAGAGTTTCAAGGTTTGCAAAACACTTTACATGAATTATTTCATCTGATGCTCACAATAACCATGGGGTGTGGGATGCAAGCCCGCTACATCTGCCCGTCTTGTGTGAATCTTGTTCACACTTTCCAAAAGGTCACCATAGGCCGTCCAACCAACATGCTTCCAGCCTTCCTGATTTTCTTCCTGATATCAAGAAGATGGCTCTAAAACTCTGACTTTTCACTTGTCATCCTTCCTCTTACTGTGTAACCAGCCCACTTTCTCTTCCTGTCACACAATTTCTTGATAATGTCATTCCTTCCTACTCTTCTTCATTCTTCCTCATTAGTTCCATGTTACATCTTGCTCATAGCCGCCCTGACCTCTGGTGGATGCTCTTCTTTTGCTCTTCAGAGGGATCATCTCCCTGACCTACAGAAATATCAATAAAAAGTTAGTATTGAAAGGATGGGTCTTTGCTTTTAGGGAAAGCTGGGAGTCATTTGGAGTTCTGGCAGTTTCCTGAAAGCAACCCAGCTGATTCCTTTCACATTCAGCTCTGGCCCAACTTGTCGTCCATCACATTTGTGAAACATCCCCAGAAGACAGTGCAGTGCCAGGGCATTGATGATGAGTGAGTGAATGAATCCATGACTGTGGGTTCTGCCTCTGACACTTCAGAAGATGATGGGTGAGTGGCAGGTGAGTAGATTTAGAGCTGATGGATGAATGAATGAATGAATTCATGGCCATGAGTTCTGCCTCTGACACTTCAGAAGATGATGGAGCCTCTGAATCATCCAATCCACTGTCCATATATGTTGGTGGGGATTCCCTTGGTGTATGGGTTGAACAGTGTTGTTTGCATGTGCTCTCCCCCATTAGACTCTGAGCTCCTTGAGGGCAGGGACTGACTTTTGCCTTTATTTTCTCATCAATTTGCACAATGCCTGGCACTTAGTCGATGCTTAATAATTATTTGTTGACTGGCCTGAGCATGTGTGGCTTCTGAGATCCCTCCCTATTTCCACGTTCTGTGATGGCGTGATAGTACATATTCCTCATTTTACAGATGAGGAAACTGAGGCCCAGAGAGGTAAGGCTTGGACTTATATAGGTAGTAAGTTTCAGAGGTGAGATTTGAACTAGGTCCTCTGACTCTCTTATCAGTACTTTTTCCACAGTATGTTCCTAAGAAATGGCCCAACTTTCCATCTCAAGTGGATCAGAGATGTAGAAAGGCTTCAAAGCAGCTTATGATACTTATCTGTGACCCTGGCAGCAAAGACCCCAACCTTTTGTTGACTAGTGAATAGATAGACCACAGGGGAGCAGAGAAGCTGGGCGTGGGGCATCCCTACAGAGGAGGCCCTGGACTAGGGCTTCTCTTCTCTCTCTTTCTTGGAGATGTGAGTCAAAAAGATTTGAGGGAAGCCACAAGCTAGAAATGAACCAGAGCTTTCTGATTCCTTCTTTTTCTCTGGCTCAGGGGTGAACCAGGATGAACATGGAAGAATTCTTCTTTGGGACTGAGAGGGAATCCACGAGGCTGCACTGCCCTCTGGGGGTGGATCACTCACTTGGGTATCTGCTCAGTGGGGACTTCCTTTGCTAAGGCTGTCCATGGGCCTCTGTACAATCTTTCTCTCTGGGGGATTTCAGGTGAGGTTTCAGAAAGGAGATGGCTGGGGAGATCATCCTCGCAAGACGCTCAGAGTATCTGGACCACCTGGATGATGAGGTAATATCTCAAGTCAAATATGTCAAGAATGCGGCCAGGAAGGTCCTCAAGAACTTTACATGTTCCTACCCTTAAAGGTGTGTTAGTGTTCGTGTGTATGTGTATATTGGAAACTGACCTGAGTATGTGAAAAACTTTCTCCTAAACTTGATAAAAAATTAAGAACTCATTTTTAGTATTTAACTAGAGAAAAACTTGCATCTGTGAATTTCAGAGTTCTAAGTGATGAGAGGTACTGTGGCATGGTCACCAAGAGACAGCTCTCCCTCTCCCTCACTGCCTCCATGGCCTGAATTACCCCCAAGAAAAAGCAGACTTGGGTGGGCAAGGAGCAGGCCAAACCCTACAGGTTGTAGGATCATAGGTTTAGAGCTGGAGGTACCTGGGAGTCACCTAGTCTGATTGCCTGCTAAGATCGGACATTTGGAGCAAGGAGGGACCTTGGAGGCTCTTCCAATCTCTTCTTCCTACAGCTGAGAAAACTGAGGGCCAGGGAGGCCCTTTAAGGGACTTCTTCAAGGTTATACAGGTAAGAAGTATTAGAGGCAGCACTTGAACCCAGGTCCACCAATATTAGAGCCAGGTCTCTTTCTCTTATCATATGCTGTCTCCTCAGATAAGAAGACAACTTTTTCATTAACTTGTTTACTATCCAGTTTTTTTCCCTTGACAGGAGAAACTTAGGATGCTTAGATGAAAATAGAAACTACAGGAGCTTCATTACTTGGACTTCCCCCAACTGCCATTTTTGAAGGATCACAGATCTAGAGATTGCAGGGATATGGGTTCAGAAGACACCTGTGGCAAAGGGCTAACTCAAAACTCCTGGGGACTGGGAGTCCTTTCTCCCTTTGTAGAACCTTCATGAAGTTCTCTTCAGGCACAGCTCTGCTGGGCTCCAACCATCTGGATCTTTCTGGAATCATCAGATGACACCTCTCCCACCCTTCAGGAATCCCACTCCGTGAGCCTGCCTTTCCTTGGTGAGCCTCTCAGCTGCCAATGGAGACAGAGGTATCAGCTACTGCATCTGACTGATGGGAGATGCTGATCTTTCGGCCTTTTCAAATGTGCGAGGTCATCCCGTTAGTGGTGGGAGTTTCTCTTCTCCCCATATCTTGCTCCCACAAGGTCATTCTGTCTTGAGCATCTACCATTGGATTCAATGACCCCTCAACTTCAGGCTAGCTTGTTGTTTTTCTATGCAGATCAAAAGCAAGGGTGTGCTGGTAAATGGTTTTTTTTAACAACTAGCTCTTCAAAAATACGTATTTACAACACACTTTAAAATTTAATTTGCATTATTAACATTTCCTCTATTAACGTCTTAAGTCTATACAACCAACAAAACAATAAACAAACCAAACTCTGTAGTGTTTGCTGATTTCTGAAGTGTAAATGCTCACACCAATTTAACAATCAGCTCCTGAGAGCCTGTCTCTAGTACAGTCCTGCTAAAGGTGTGTTTGATTCTTGCAGCCAATCAGAAGATATTTCATGTGTAGTTTCATTTGTTTTTGACCAATGATCAAAGCTCTTTATTCTTGTCAAATTAATCAGGAACTTATTTGTAACTAGATTGCTTTTGCTTGACTGGTTCAGTTGAGGTTGATTTGGTGGGGATAAAACCTTACCTGTACGGTGGTATGAATTATGTGATACTCTGCCATAAGTATGGACTAGCTAGAATGAAGAACATAATATTTAACAGGTACATAAGCTAGACACAAAATACTGTGAGGGTGGTGACAAAAGGCAGCTTCCTGGAGCCTTGGGACCCTCAAAGAGACACTCAAAGCCCAACATAGAGATAAAACACACCAGGTGAACTCCACGAAGCCTCCACAAGTAAAGGACTTCTATCCAACAGGGAGCCATGTGTTAGCCCTTTGCCACTTCCCTCTGGGCTCTGTAGGTACTTGTGGGAGAATGTGTTCCAGAGTTTGAGGGGAATGTTTTTATTTCAGTCCTTCTCATCTTACCACATTAGCAAATCCCAATGACAAAAGATAATTGTTTGCCTGGCTAGCAATTAATAAGAAACACATTGGATGAGGAATTGTGAACAACAGTGCTAGAGAAATTCCAAGTACCATGAGGGGAGAAGTCAACCAATCCCTGGAGACCTAGTTTCCCAGCTTTAGTAGGAATTGGTAGAGTAAATCTGGAGGGGTGCTACTATTATTTTGTAAAAGTGTTCCAAGGCCAGACAGCCCAGAGATGGCTCTAAGACATGGGGCCTTCCTGTTTTGCAAGATGCATTTATGATAGCCCTGCTGTGGTAACATCCACATTCTCGTTGTCTCTTTCTTTGTTGAAATCACACCTCTTGGTTGGCAAGAGGAGCCTGACTCACACAGAATATGTGAAGAAAGGAAGAGAACGTTAGCACAGATAGAGTTTCCTAGACTGCTTTATTACCTTATTACTGCAGCAGAGAAAAATAAAAAAATACATTGTAAAAGCCATGGACTTGTTGCTTGCTCAGGCCATGCTGGATACCTGACAGCACTCCTTAGGGAAAGCAGGATTCCTAGTCATGGCCCTATCTAGTATATAAACAAACAAACCAACCCTGGGATCCCACAAGATGAACATTCTTGTCTTTGTGCTTTTTGTGCTGAGGGCAAAGAATACTTTGGTGGATAATTAACATCCAGGATAAGGAAAAAGAGAAATGATAGATGGTAGAGGTACTTGTGGGAGAATGTGTTCCAGAGTTTGAGGGGAATGTTTTTATTTCAGTCCTTCTCATCTTACCACATTAGTATTTGTAACTAGCACATGTTGGTCCAAGATGGGTGGGGGAAGGTTACAGGATGCAGTGGTCATATTTTTTTTCATGGAATGATTATTATATCATTTATCGTGGGCCATTCCTGGGAATCTTTTATGGGCTTCATATAAGAATTACATGACCTTTTTCTCATGTGCTTGTTATTACTTAAAAAAAAATGATAATGATGATCAAAAACTAATGAGAAGACTGAGCCTGTGTATGTTAAGAGATCAAAAGGCATCCTGAAGTCAAAGTTTGAGGAAGAATACATCGCAATGCACATGTGTGCAATATTAGTCAATGCTTACATAGTTGTTTGGCATCTTTAAGGGAAAGTTGCATGTCTTAATTAGAGACACCTCCCATCCCATCATGGATGGGAGAAAGGGACAATAAAGGATAAAAGGGCAACACCCATCTTCCCAACTCGGGCAGCCCATTGACAACCTCTGGGTATGTAAACATACAAATTGGAGCTGAGATAGGCATATCCAAAACAGAACGGAGAATGAAAAGAAAGGCATACAACCAATTTTGCTTCCAGATGGAGAACCAGGCATGGTGGTCTTCAGGGAAGGGTAGGAAGAGAGTACTCCGCAATGGTTTTATGAGAAGTTATTCCCAAGGCTTGGTGAAAAGCTCTTAATGAAACTTCTAAGGCCATATTTCCTCCATGCTTAAGGATACCTCATATGTATTTATAAGGATGGTTGTGGCTCTGTTCAGGGCTAAGCAATACTGCTTGGTTTCCCACTCCAGAAGACACCAAGAAGGAGATATTGATCAGCTAGGAAACTAGCAGTTTCTGGAGTGTCAGTTTCCAGGCACTGAAGATTTGAGGTATGAATCTTTTAAACAAGACATAAAGCAGGAGGGAGGAGTTGTAATGCGGAGGAAAGAGCATCTACAGAGCTCAGACAGTCTGTTGGACAGAGAATTACTGAGTACTGAAAATTAGGGTTGGTGTTTTGCAGCCTGTGATGTCATTATCATGCCAAGAGAATGTTCTTGACATGGCAGTTACAAGGCCACCATGCCTTGTAGTGGTTCTAGTAGTTCCATTTTAGTAGGAATAATAGACAATATTTCTATAGCACTGAAGTTTATAACATTTTTCAAACATTATCTCATTCAATCCTCATAGTAGCTCTATGAGGTCCTCTAGGTATTACAGGTATTATTATCCTTATTTCACAAATAAGGAAACTGAGGCTAACTGAAGTTTTTTTCCTGCCCATAATAATGTTTGAGATGGGAGTTGAACTTGTTTTTATGACCAAAACTTCAGTATTCTATCAAGTGCACCTACCAATGATATGAGCAAAGGTGGGTGATGGGATCAGGAATGGGTATGATGTCTTTGTTGAACAGTGAGAAGATCAGCTAGACTTGAGTAGAGCATCTGCATTGGGAAGTAGTAGTAAGTAAATCTGGATCAGTAGCCCACATTATGGAAGGTGGATTTCTCAAAGTCCACACAGGGGATTTCAGATTGATTCAATAAGAAATAGAAAACTCTTGCTGGTTTTTATAGGATAGCACGGTAGTGTGATTGGAGGCAGAAAGTCCTTCCTCAGACATTTTACTAACTGTGACTCTAGGCAAGTCAGTTGACCTCTCAGCCTCAGCTTCTTCATCTGTAAGCTGGGGATAATAATGGTACCTACTTCCTAGGATTGTTTTGAGGATCAAATGAGATGATATTTGTAAAATACCTTGCAAACCATTAAGCTCTATAGAAATACTAGTTATTATTTTGAACAGGAGAGAAATGTGGTGATGAAAATGGCTGGAAAGTAAGATTAATCTGGTGTAATTGGGAAAAAGCAGATTAAGGGACAGAGTAGACTGAAGTCAGTGAGAACAGTTGAGAGGCTGCTTGCTTAATGTAGGTATGAGGAAATGAAGAGATTTGGATGGTAATGATGGCCAGTCCCAATTCTTCTAATTTATTTTTAATTAATTGCTGCTACTGTTATTGTCTTACAATCTGCAGTGACATTTTGCACCGCCTCTACTCTTTCCTTATATAATCTGCATTGTTTAATAAGACTGGGCTCCTTAAGGGTAGCTCTTCTGTGATTTCTAGTGTCAATGATCTGGTCCTGAATTGCCAGCATAAATATCTTCATTTCTGCAAACAAATCTGCTTGACTCAGTCATTTGTTCAATGTTTATTTGTTGACGTATTGTGGAGTTCATGTAG